CTTGCTCACTGCACTAGACTGGCTGGTCAGAAGCCATAGGGATCCACCTGTTTCTACCTTCAGCACTGGTATTATAGGCACGGGCCACCATGTGAAGCTTTGTGTGTGTGGCATCTAAACTCACTCCATCATGTTTGTGTGTCAAATGCTGATTGAGCCAGCTCCCCGGGCCAGCATTTACATTTTTTGGAGCAGTCGTGAATGGGATTTCCCCCCTCAGAAAATTGTTGGAATACAGCAAAGTTGCTGATTTTGTTTCCTGCTTACTTTACTGAAAGTGTTTCTTAGTTTTAGGTTTTCTAGTGGACTCTTTGCAGCCTTTTAAGTATAAGATTTTGTCTTCTGAAAGTAGGGATAAATTGCTTTCCTTTCCTATTTATATCCTTCTCATTTCTCTTGTCTTACTGTTCTAACACTTTGGGCACTAAATTGAATATGTCTCATTCCATATTTTAAGGGAAATGCTCCCATTTATTTCCCATTTAGAATTATGTTTGCTCTAGGTTTGCCATATATAGCCTTTATTATATGAGGTGTGTTCCTTCTATTCTTAGATTTTCCCACTCAGGGATTTTACTATGTAGTATTTAACCTTTTCTACATAAACTTGGGTGATTATGTGGCTTCTGTCCTTAAGTCTATTTCTGGCCCAATTACACCTTCTGATTCATGTATGCTGAACCAAGTTTGCAACACTGCAATGACACCAACTTGACAAGACCTTTATGTTTATTCGATTAGAATTTATTACTATTTCAGTGCCTTAAAAATAGGTGGTTGGAAGATGTGGCTGTGTGACTGCGGTTTCTAAGGTTTCTTTAGGGTGGGTACAGCAGGTTAGGGCTGATAGCTTCAGTCAGAAGGGTTGGTGGAAAAATGGTTTCCGCATGGCACTGTCACTTTCAGATAGCACATATTAAATATAAAATTCATTCAGACAAATAACTATAAACATCCTAATTCCTTCATCACCGTGGCCTCATTGGAATTGTTTGATTATTGATGTTAACAGTAGTTAGACCTTAGAGGAAGAAAAAGGGAAGACAGCATCATTACGTATGGTAGAAACCAGAGTCTAACTCACTTCGTTTTGGCCCACGATCTGTTCAGGGTTAATGATGTCTGCTCACTGCTGCTAGTGACCTAACTGGAATTTCTTGGTGCTAATTTAATAAGGCTTTAGTAAATCGAGAAAATAACTATTTTGATGATGAAGTCTTATGATCCTATTTCACAAGCTGACTTTGTGGCAGGAGTTTAAAAGAATTACTATCTTCTCACTCATCCTTTGTGACCACCTGAAAGAGTCCTTCCAATGTGGATGATGTTCATATCACCTTTGACTTCAGGATAAAGTTTAAACTACTTACCCTTACTGTCATGGTTGGTATTTTCTCTCCAGACTCCTCAACATCACACACACACACACACACACACACACACACACACACACACACACACACACACACACACACACACACACACACACCCCACCCCCATACCATTCCCCACCCACCCACAGTGCCAGAGCACTCTTCGGGCAATCCACGTGACCACTATACAACTTCATTCCTAGCTTTCAAACTGTGTTGAGAACACCTTTTCCTCCTTTCCTATTTTCTTTCAGCCATCATCCTACCTCCTCCCCAAATACTCTCTAAGCTTTATATCCCACTTCATTCTTCTCTTACAGTTTTTATGTAGAATGCTTCTGCGTACTCCCTTGACCATGGCACAGTGTAAGTAGCTACATTTAAATTGTGAGTCCTGTCATGGTTTGAATGAGAATAGCTTCCTAGGCTCATATATTTGAGTACTTGGGCCCCAGTTGGAACTGTTTGGAAAGGATTAGGATGCGTGTCAGTAGGGTTGTGTTCTGAGGTTTCAAAAGCCTTCACCTTTCCCAGTTAGCTTTCTCTGCCTCCTGCTTGTAGCTGCTGCTCCAGTGCTGTGCCTCCATGCTCACCAGCACTGTAAGCCCTATATAAACTCTTTTCTCTATAAGTCGCCTGGTTATGGTGTCTTCAAAGCAATATGAAATGACTAAGACAAGCAGTCACTTGATTGTGTCCAGCTCTTAGGTGTGTGCAACCTGAAGAAGAAATGTTCAAGCTGGACGTGGTAGCACACACTTGTGATCCCAGCTACTTGTACGGATAAGGCAGTTGGATTGCAAGCTAAAGAACAGCCTGAGCTACTCAGTGGAGCCCTATCTTGAAACAGAAATGATTCATGAAAAGGACTTGGTGTGTAATGTAGAGGTGGAACACTTGACTAGCATCCTCAGAACTCAAAGGAAAGTAATGCCCAGTTGTTGAATAGTTGGACTACAGGACAAAGAGCTGCTGGGTGTTTTTACTAAATGAGAATGTTTACTTAAGAAACAGGTGCCTGAAGCTGTTGGTGACACACACCTTTAGTCCCAGCACCTGGGAGGCAGAGGCAGGTGGATCTCTGTGAGTTTGAGGCCAGCCTGGTCTACAAAGTGAGTGCCAGGATAGGCTCCAAAGCTACACTGAAGAAACCCTGTCTCGAAAAACAAAAACAAACAAACAAAAAAGGAACAGGTGCCTGTTCTTATCCACACTTCTTAGCTGCTGCTACCAACTAGCGCCCATTTTTCTATCAAGAAACGAGCTCCTTTAACAAGACTTTGCTACACCATCAATGAGGAATTGGCAAGTCCTTTACTGTCACTAGGATCTACCACCATACTTACAGGTTCTTCATTCTAAGACTTCATATTTCATTACAGAATCAATGTTAGATAATTGGTTACCATAGGTACCCAGCATACCTTTTACAGTCCATCACTTGGTAGATAATTGTTGGTAATTACGATAGCAACCTGGGTACCTGCAACAGCTCTTCAGGACCCCCACCAATTGGGCAACCAGAGGGACAGGAGTAGGTATCTGGGCAACTCCACCCTGTGCACTGTCCACCTCTTTCAGAGGCCTCACTCTTCAGGACCTTAGGCTCTCTTATTACCACTATGTTTTCTAAATTATGACAGATATCTAACCATTGAAGGAATTTTTAAAAATTTAAGGCAGGAACACACATAGCTCAGTGATGCTTGGCCTTGCTATATAATAGAGGATGACCTTGCAATTATTTTTTTCTACAAAATGAACTCTGATTATAAGAGAGTTAATTTCTAAATGGTACAAACAAATGAACAAATTATTTCCTAGATGAAATAGATGAAAAAATTTAGTGGTAGTGTGCATAATGGAGAACTTGGATGTTTCATCCATCCCTGGAATAAATCAATCCTATTTGTAATCTTTTTTATTCCTGTTTGTAATCTTGTGTCACACTGAAACCATTCCTTGTGACTAGTCACTACAATGGTAACAGTACTTCCATTATGATTTTCTGTTGGCTGCCTCATTTACATCATCTCATTTAATGCTCAAAATGACCTCTATGGTATGGTAAGCAGTCTAATTCCTTTTCCAAATGAGGAAACAGAGTTAGCAAAGTGCAGCCCCATAGCCAGATTCCACTTTTAGTAATCTGCACAGCTACAATTTCACACCCTGTTTGTGCTCTAAACCAGTACATTGTTTTGAGTCACAGCTGGTCATAAATTTGTCATTACCTTCATAATAAACACTATTTCTACTTCTGGAACTTTGCTACTGACTGGTAACCACAAAGGAAGCATTGTGTTTAAAAATAAAAGCTTGGGGCTTGAAGAGATGTCTCAGTGGTTAAGAGTGCTGGCTGCTCCTCCCAGAGGTCCACATTCAATTCCCAACACTCATGTGGAAGCTCACAACCATCTGTAATTATATTTCCAGGGGACCCAACACCCTTTTCTGTTCTCTGAGCACTTGACACAAAGGTTGGGCCCAGACGTGCAAGCAGGAAAAAGACCTATATTTATAAAACAAATGTTCAAAAATAATATAAAACTAAAAGTCAACATTTAACTGTAGTTTTCTATGAATATTTTTACTAGATTACTTATTATGTAATGCAGATATTCTTCCCAGAGATAGATCACCAGCTCTCAAACTTGAAGCACATCAGAATCACTGGTGGGAGGATCTTATATATAGGGAATTGCACACAGCAGGTCCCAGCCAAACTGAGTCAGTCTCTTGTGGGCGTGGATGGGGCAGCTGATGGTGAATAATCTCCCAGGGTGGCTCTAATGCTCACACAAGTCTGACAACCACTGCATCTCTCTGCACAGAAAGGTTTCCTTTTAGAGATGATCATTCTCAGGGCTGTATATTTCTTGGGGCTTCACAGGATGCTTGGGATGGCTTCATTCTAACTCATAATTCTGAATCACCACACTTTCTGCACTACAACTGTCAGTAGGCAAATCTGTGGCATGACTTACTGTAATGGAATGGATTGTCATCTAATTTTCATTTTTTTTCTGTTGGAAGGCTGTGTATTGATAATAATAGCTCACACTTGCTTTTAGTCGTTTTGCACTTGGCATGTGAAAAAATGATAGTTGCTTTTCCTGTAACCACTATTAATAAATCTGGAGCAGGTGAAACAACAGCTGTTAAAGAGTCACAAAATCCCAAGATTAAAGTCAGAACGTGCAGCAGTATGCTACTTGAATTTTTAATAGCCTCTTTACCAAGTGACTAAATATTCTCTTCCTGTTAGATAGCCATTTGTCCCTTGGGTACAATTTTTTCTATTTAACCTAACAAATTTCCTCTTTGGGCCAATGAGATTGCTCAATGGAATAACAGCACTTGTCACCAAACCTGATAACCCCAGCCTGGATCCCAAAATCCAAGATAGAGTTAAAGAAGCAACTCTTCCAAGTTGCTCCACATAAAGAAGGGTGCAAGCATGCATGCACACTCACAAATACACACACAATAGATACCTGTAATTTTTTAAAGATTTATTTATTATAAATACAACATTCTACCTCCACATCTGTCTGCAGGCTAGAAGAGGACACCAGATTTCATTATAGGTGGTTGTGAGACACCATGTGGTTGCTGGGAATTGAACTCGGGACATCTGGAAGAGCAGTCAGTGCTCTTAACCTCTGAGCCATCTCTCCAGCCCCATACCTGTAATTTTAAAAAAATTTTTTTCATACTTGTAATTTTTAAAGAAGAAAGTTTATCCTGGTAGAAAGGTGAAATCAATTTCTCTTGTGTTTCCATGTATTAGTCCTTATCCCAACCTTATCCGAACTTCGCACTCAAATCAGCCAAAACCTTTGAATGACTCTTCAGTTGATGTTGCTGTTTCTACAAGTTGACAGGCTGCCTCTATCTGACGCAATTTGTGCTTATTCCATAGCCAGATGAAATAAAGTTTCTGTACCATTAAATTATGACTTCTTATATTTTACTTATAAGCTTTTGTGATCCCACACAAAGATTTATTATGGAGTATTTAAATATGGTAGGGGCAGAATGGCAGAAAAAAGAATGTGATCATAATTTTGTTGAACTATAAATGTTGAACTATAATTTTGTTAAGTGCTTTACTGTATTAATATCATTAGCTTGGTGTTGAGTTTAGTAACCATATTTAAATTAAAGAAGTTGTTTTGCCTTCTCTGTGAGTTACTCAGAACCGTCTCACCCCTCAGAAATTGGTTAATAGTTGTCTTCTAAATGAAAAACCACAGGACAGGTTCTACTTGAGTATGTGTGCCACCACTACCTAAGAACCTCCCTGTAAACATCCATCTCACAGTCTAGAACTTGACCAGTGGCCCAGGTTGATGGCTAAGATATCAGAAGCTGGTGCTGAACCAAGTTCTACCAATGTGAGCCATCTCTGGATCCAATTAGATTAAAATACAGGTAACACCTACACAAACAAGTCAGGTTACTATCAGACATTTTCTTGGTAAGTCTTTCTTGACATAGATACTTTTGCATTTAACATCTAAATATAACAGGAAAACCCATTTCAACATTTGTTATTAATGTGATTATTCAGGTAGACCAGCCAGGGTGATATATAATATTCTAATTACAGAAAGAAGGTATTATATCCTGGCTTTTTTTTTTTTAATTTGGTTTTTCGAGACAGGGTTTCTTTGTGGCTTTGGAAGCTGTCCTGGAACTAGCTCTTATAGAGCAGGTTGGTCTCAAACTCACAGAGATCCACCTGCCTCTGCCTCCTGAGTGCTGAGATTAAAGGTGTGTGCCACCACCACCCGGCATTTTTTTCTGGTATGTACTTTCTCCTAGGGTAGATCGAAGGGTCAGCATTCAACTCTATTTCCTCTGAGGCTTATACAATTTTGCTTAGTCATGGGTATTCTTTTCTAAAGGTACAGCATAATCTCTCCTCTCTCCCTTCCCTCTCATAGTCTATCAAGGTATTTTTCCACACCTCCTTCACCCATGGATCTAGTTAGTTTCCTACTGGTAGTAATGACATATTCAACATTCAAATTAACTCTTCAGAGTTCAAAAAAGTACAGGAAAGAAATATGTGAGTCATCTGTGTTTACTTTATACTATTATATTCATTCTCTGACAACCCAAATTTAAGCCCATGGAGGAATGAATCTATCTATCTATCTATCTATCTATCTATCTATCTATCTATCTATCTAACAATCTATATATCTAGACAGATAGATATAGATATGCTTTAAATGTATATGTTTTATTAATAAGGAACTAAATAGTTGAAAAATGAACTGTAGTAGTATGTGTATTAAAATATGATAATTGTAATATGGAGAAATATATATCTAATTGTATCATTAAGCTTTCTAGGTTTAGTCCCATAGTAACTGCAGAAAAAATACCAATAGTATTTTATAATTCAAAAGCAGGAAAACAGTTATTAATGATGAGCAATTCACCACATACTGTGGGTGCTGTGTTCAGACAGCATCCTTTTGGAGCACTGGAGGAATTCTAACTATCTGCTTCTGCTTGTTAATTGTGGGAACTCAACAACCTGCCAGCCATTGTGTGCTGCCAGTCTACTTGTGGAATTCTGAGTTAGTCCTTAATAAACCACAGGCAACTGATTGTTAAACATAATAAGTACATGCCTAGGCTTATGACACATTTAAGAGGTCACAAAAATGTCATTCTTTTTATCAAGTAAGAAGGAAATAAAGTGAGTCAATATAAAATAATGAATCTGCCTTATTTTATGTGCCTTTATACTAACACAGTCATGAAATATAATGTTTGGATCTTTTTCTTTTTGGTTAAGGAAGAGGCGCCTCCAAATCTTAGGGTAACCTGTAATAAACTCCAGGTAGTAGAACTCATGGGGAGCAAATTTTAATGGCCTTTGTGGTGGTTTGACTAGGAATGGTTCCCAAAGGCTCATATACTTGAATGCTTAGTCCCTAGTTGGTGGTATTGTTTTGGGAAGGATTAAGAGTTGTGGCCTAGCTGGGCGGTAGTGGAGCACACCATTAATCCCAGCACTCAGGAGGCAGAGTTTGAGACCAGCCTGGTCTACAAGAGCTAGTTCCAGGACAGCCTCCAAAGCCACTGAGAAACCCTGTCTCGAAAAACAAAAACAAAAAAAAAAAAAAAAAAAAAAAAAAAGAGTTGTGGCCTTGTTGGAGGAAGTGTACCTGTCAACCTGCTTCTATGCTCCTTCCATGATGGTCAGTCTTGAAATCATATATACACAAACAACAAACACAGGCTCAGCAGGTTTTATTCATATATTTGTGTATGTATTCAGGCACACACACCTGTTTGTGCACACATGTAGCAGCAATAATCAAAGAAAAAGAAACTACTGATTTGAGAATTGAAGGGAGAGACAAGGTAGAGGGTTGAAGGGAGGGAACATAGGAATTACTAGAAGAAAGGAAAATAATGTTATTGTATTTAAATTTAAAAAGAATTTTAAAATGAAAATACTAGCATTTTTTTAAAATAGGCAGTGCGCTGGGCATTGGTGGTGCACACCTTTACTCCCAGCACTTGGGAGGCAGAGGCAGGCAGATCTCTGTGAGTTCGAGGCCAGCCTGGCTTACAAAGCAAGTTCCAGGACAGCCTCCAAAACAATACAGAGAAACCCTGTCTCAAAAAAAAAAAAAAAAAAAAGGGCAGTAGCTCTACATAGGCATTTTTCAAAAGACAACATATATATGAAAAATATGGAACATCACTAGTTATCAGGGAAATGCAAATCAAAGTCATATGAAGTATCACTTTATCCTAGTCAGTATTATCAAGAAGACCAAAGAATGCCTTACAATATGGCTTAGGGGGTAAAGGAGTTGTTGCTAAGCTTGATGACCTGAGTTCAATCCTTGCAGCCCTCATGTTAGAAGGAGAGAACCAACTTCTGCAAGCTGTACTCTGACCTTCATATATGCACTGTGGCTGTGGAGCATGCATACATACACACACACAGACACACACAAAAATTAATGCAAAATACTTCCGCAAAGATCAAAGAAGGCCTCAGAGTGATGGTGGATGCCTATGTTACCACTCAGAAGGCTGAGGCAGATTTACAGTACTATCAATCAAGAATATAGCAAAAAGGGAAACCATCATCTACTGTTGGTTAAAAAAAAATAGTAATGCCAGTATGTAAAGCAAAATGAGGGTTCTTTAAAAAAAATTAAAGAGAAACCCTGTCTCATAAAAAACAAAAAAAATTAAAAATAAAACTCTAATATGATAGAGCAATACCACTACTGGGTATTTATCCAAAGGAAATTAAACCAGTATGTCAGGGATATTATTCACAGTAACCAAGAACTCAAAACAGCTAAAATATTCATCTGTTGATGAACAGATAACATGTGATGCTCTAAAGATTTGTCACTCATACTGGCTTAATGAAACACTGTATTGAGGCAGGAACTATAAGGTGGGGTGACAAGACTAGGAGAATTCTGGGAAGAGGAAAGGCAGAGAGAGAGTCTATTGCCAGCCAGACACAGATGAAACAAGAGGAGAATGCCCTACTGAGAAAAGGTACCAAGCCATGTGGCTAAACATAGATAAGAACTGTAGGTTATTTTAATTTGTAAGAGCTAGTTAGTAATAAGACTGAGCAATTGGCCAAACAGTTTATAATTAATACAAGCCTCTGTGTGTTCATTTGGGACTGAACAGCTGTGGAACCAGGCAGGACCAAAATTTCCATTTATAGTGTGGTATACACACAATGTAATAGCTGTAAAGAGAATGACACTATGCCTTTTGCAATTCCATGAACAGAACTGGAAACCATTATGTTAAATAAGTCAGATAAGAAACACAGGATCTCACTTGTGTGAAATCTGAAACAGCTGAGCTCACAGAAGTTGAGAGTAGAATGGTGGTTATGAGGGGCTGGTAAGAGTAGAGAGGAGATGCACAAGAGGCTGAAACAGGGTTGTTCAAATTTCAATGTTAGCATGAATACATTGCAGGAATTAGGCTAGCCTGGGCTACCCTACAATATGAGACTCTTGTCTCTGTTTCTTGCTCTCTCTCACACACACAAAGAAAAAGGAAGTGGTGCAGGAGTAGGAAGGAAAAGGAAGGTTTACCAATGGGTACTAATTTATGCCTAGATAGGAACCAGGGGCTCAGGGACATCTAGGAAAAGCCTTTGGAAATTCTTACTACAAAGAAATCACAAATATTTAAGGAGACAAATATGTTTAAATCTTACTTAAACATTATATAGCATATACATGACTAAATATTTCATGGTCCCTTACATTTATGTACAAATTTTATATCTCAGTTAAGATTTTTAAAAAGGAGAAAGATGTGGGTAAAAAGGCAGGAAAAGGGCTTGAAGAGACATTTCATCAAAGAAGATACACAAAAAGCCAACAAGTTCAAAAGAAATACAACAAAAACAAGCAAATAGCCTGAAGAAAACAATCTATGAATGTATGTAAAGAAAATGCAGATCCAGATTACAGCAAGCTAGCTTCTCACAACTACTTCCATGACTGCTATGCAACACACACACACACACACACACACACACACACACACACACACACACACACACACACACACGGCAACCCAAAGAAACAAAAGGAAAACAAAATAACAAGACCTAACACTTGGAACACTACACTGTTGGTGGGAAAGTTAAATGGTGCTGCCCTCCCAGAAAACAGCAAGGTACCTCCAGCAAACTGGAGAACTGCTGTATGACCCACAGGAAGTGGAAGCAAGAACTCACAGATATATGTGTGCCCCTCTTCATCACAGCATCACCCACAGTAGTAAAAGTGGAAGCAACCAAAATGTCTTAGGCAATGGAAGGGTGATGGAGGAAGTCCTGTGATTATGTCAATAAAGCACTGTTGCCCAATAGGGAAGTTAGATAGGTGGGATTAGGAGTCCAGGCGGACTCTGCGTAGGAGAAACTCAGAGAGTCAAGATGTAACGCCATGGGGTAGGAAGCCCAGAACTATTCTCCGGTAAGAGAAATACTTAGATTAACAATTATGGGGTAATTACTCAAGTCAGAGCTAGCCAGTAAGAAACAAGCAAGGCCAACAGCCTCATAATTAATATAGCCTCCTGTGTGTTTATTTGGGACTGATACGGCTCTAGAACCAGGCTGGCGGAAAGGCTTCTCTCAAGGAAAAAGCTTCTCTTTACATAATGGTGTCAGAAGTGGGATGATGAATTTCCACGTAGAATGACCAAAGCTTTAAAGGAATTTTAGAAAGAAAGGAACAAAGAGAAGCAAAGATTTTTGGTAGCAGCATTTTCTCAGGTGGGCTCTGTTTTGCTAGCGGCAAGCAGAGACTCGCAGCTTGCTTAAGGCAGTCATCCTAACTCAGCATAAAAAAAAAAAAAAACAGCAAGGTTCTTTTAAGAGGCTTTGCCAATGATTTAAAAGTTGTACTTACAGCTGGAAGTGGCAGTGACCACATCTCCAAGCTGGCAGCTGGAGTCACGCGTATGCCCGCTATCTTGGAAAAACAGCAGTTTAAACAGCCGCGGTTTTAACAGATAAGATACATGGCCAAAAAATCATAAAGATTTACAGTAAAGTCAGACTTGGATGAAGAAAAACCTCTAAAGGTTTACAGTGTGTTTAAAAATATACATAAGATTGAGAGAGAAAACGAAAAGGCATAGTGGTAAAATAGAGAAGCTGGCTGTGGTGGCGCACACCGGTAGGATTTGCTGCAGAGGCAGAGGCAGGCAGATTTCCAAAGAGAAACCCTGTCTCAGAGAAAAATAAATAAAAGTAGAAGAAATAAATTAATAATAGATAAATAAGCCACGCAAAGATGAAAAATACACAGAGAGTCTGGATACTGTATGCTATTGTGTTTTTCAGTTTTTTGATTGCTCAGGAAGGAACAACTGCTAAAGTACACTTGATTATAAATGCTGCTAAATTAATTCAACTTATATCTTTTGAAAATGCCTTGACTTCAAAATTTAAGTATAAGGATATGTTACTTGGAAAAGGAGATTTTATTTATGTTTCTACAGAAAATGAAAAGCTGAGGATTCCTTCCAGGCTTCTGTGGTTTGATGAACCAAGACCCCCGGAAGCAGTGGACCAGGTGTTCCAACAACTGAAACAGCTAAGATGATGGAGCTTTACAGACCCCGAAAATACGGACTTATACAGGTTTCTGAGTTTTGTCATGATCCCCATGGTATGAACAGCACCCCCTTCCAGCACAAGCAGTTTGGAATGAGCGACATCCTAATTCCCATCTTGTTTATAAACCTTTGTTTTCATTTAAATGGGATTGTTTATAATTGGTTAATGATCACAATCAATCTCTTTTTAATGGTAAAAAGGGGAATTATGGTATGGGTATGGTTTTTCATTTATTGACACAAATTCAAGGTCAATTTTGTGATGCGTATATTTCTCTTCTTGATTAAGTATTGTGCTTATACTGTTCTTTTAAAACATAATGCATAATTGAATATAGACTATAGATAGTTACTTATAATAGTCAGAACTTATAGTTAGTTAAGTTAGGTTTTCTAGATAGATAGAGATGTATTTGAGACAGATAGATAGTCTTCAGACCTTTCAAAGACCTTCAGAAAATGACATTTAAAATGGTTTAGGGTTTTTCTTGACAATGAGAAATGTCTGCTCCTGGCAGCACCAATTACGTATGAGAGGAAGATGGGCATCGAAGAAACTCATTAGGGAGTTTGCTTTCAACATGGCAAGATTAGCCATTTGGGCAAGAAACTGCTCTTGCCTAGACTGTTTGACTCTTGCTGTATAAACTGGACATGCAGGACCCACAGGAAAGTGACTGCTGAACTCAGTCTTACAGGGTTCCTGCTTCATGGAAGAGTCTAAGAGACTTTCTGCAGGACAAAGAAAAATGACTGACAGACTGCCAATGCAGATGGACAGTTTGAAATTTCCTGCTTTGCTGAGAAATCTTCTGGACACATTGTGGCCTATGGGCTGAAGATGGATGCCCCAACGTTACAGAGGAACTTCGGGTAACTGTCCAGGCAGTAAGATATCTCTGTCAATCCTAGTGTTTATATATTATCCTTCTGTGGTCTTTGATAGAGTTGAAGACAGATAGCTATAGTTATAGTTTTCCTTAGTTATGATAAGAGATAAGCTACAGATAGGACTTTGGACTCACAGGAATGAGATAGATGATATTTTCTTTAAATCTTGCTATTTACTGTACTTCATACTTCTTCAATTTGTTTTGCTTTTATTTTTCACAGAATTTGATGAAAGGGATAAGACCTTCAAGTCAAATGAATAAATGGAAACATTTTCACAACACTTTATTTCTGCAGGACATGGAAGTGTGCTGACTTCCCTACGTGAAACATAGATGATTGGTTTCACTGAAGAGGACTTTAGAGATAGCTTTTGACAGTTAAACCTGGAGTCCCAGTGGGCAACAGGCATTAAAAAATACTAAGAGAATTGACTTCAGCCTATTTGAGTGAAAGAAATTAGCTTAACTATTTGAAGTAAATGAGATTTGAAAACTCAAGAAGGCAAAAACCATCCCCAAATAAACAGCAGTGTTTGGGGATTAGCAAAGCTGATGTTTCCTAGGAATTCCAGTGGTTACTCTATTAAAAAAGAAAGTGCTGGCTTCCCTTATAGCCTAACATTTCTTCTAATTAGAGAGTCAGTATGTGAAAGTGGTTTGAGAATCACCATGACACCACAGAGACACTAACAAGCAGAATACTGAAACAGAGGGGCATGGCCATCCCCATCCTCAAATATGCCACTAAGTGATTAGGAAAACTCTTGCAAGGGAGGATACTTGGTTTTGGAGAGACACTGATTCAAACGTTAAGAGTTTCAAGTAAATTCTGATACACACACACACACACACACACACACACACACACGCACACGCATTTTAGTTTCTTCAATTAAAATTTTTTCAACTACAAAATAAAGTATCAGAAACACAAAGAATGCTTTTACAAAAGAGACCTGCAAAATCAAGGAATAACTTCTGATGGTGTAACCCAACATTCCTAAAAGTTCCTAAATCCTGGCTGTCAAGTTTTGCTTTTCCCCTATTCCTGTTCTCCCCCTGGTGGCTATGAGAAGAAGAGGCTGAGGGCCTGGGGTAGAAAAAGAAGGAGGGAAGAGTGATTGTAAATTACCCCATCATTAAATTTCCTGTGGCATTGTTAAAGGAAACTGAAGGAGCAGTTCTGATACATGCCTTTGGCTAAATTAACTGGAAGACAGAAGAGAATAGAGTTTTTTCAATTCTTAAAGGGTTAACCTTCCAGGATGTAAAGCAGGAATGCTAATCTGTCTAGGCAAGCAAATTACATCTAGCATAGGACCTTTCTAAAGTAGTTCCCTGTACTTATTTTCTGAGTAGACACAAGTCCAAGGGGGATGTTATAGAGTCAGTTCCTCTCCTATAATTTGGAGTTGGATTATCTATATAGCCCATGTCCTACTTAGAAAATGGCAGAGATAACAGACTTCCACCATGTCTGAAATGAGCATTCATACATGTCTCCTCCAGTGAATGTGTAAGTTCTGTGCTTGACATTGAGGTGTTCAAAACACTACATGCTTTGGTAAGTGACAGCAGACAAGGGAATAAGGAAGAAGTGGGGAGACAGAGATCCCAGTGGGTGTTCACAGCCATTCTCTTCCACCCTTGTTCCTATAGAAAAAGTAACTCCCAGGTTCCTATCTGCATTCCCAGAACTGGCATTGATCATTCATTAGACAACTGCTCTAAGATATCAGCAAAGTAGGTTTCCAAACGTACATTTGAAGAAAATTAAAACTTGGTTTGAAGTTATTTTTATGTTGGCATATTTGTAATTTTTCATCACCTTATAATGCTAACAGTTTATTTTGTGTTTTAGAGAGTGGTTACTGGTGGGGGCACTGCTGCACAGTCTCGTCTTTTTACAACGATTCAATAATGCTTATGCCTTCCCTGGTAGGGTCTGAAATAAAACTGAAACTGTCTGAGGGTCTAGCTCCTCGTATCCCAAAATACGAACACTGGCAGCAAAACTTTGTGGCTTAGAACTGCCATTTTAGGAATATTAACTTTGATGAAATGTCTCCCTGGCTGAACACATGGATTTTCCCCTAAGTCTGCAACACAACTTGGATCCCATTCACGATGTGGCAGAGGATGGAGACATTGGTTATTGCACACAGAAGAACGTCAGGGAGTAGAGGTCAAAGACACCATTATTAATCTGCTAAGCCATCAACAGCAACCTGGTTTGATCTATTAACAACAGAGATTTACTACCTCAAAGTTCCAGCAGGTGGGAATCCCAAACGGAGATGCCGACAGGGTTGATTTCTCCTAGGGTCTCTTCTCCACGTGGGCTTTGCATGTTGCCATGTTTCTGCCTCTCCTTATTAGAAACCAGGCCTGTTATATAAGGTCTTCCCCCTTTGACATTTAACTTTAGTTAGTACATTAGAAGCGCTATATCCAAATGCATTCTTACAGGGAGTTGGAGCTACAGCATTATCGCTTTGCGGGGGACACTATCTCAATGGGTAAGATAAACAAACCAAAACAACAAACTGAGATTTAAAAATGTCTCCCATTACTACTTTTCATCCTCAGCCCCCTGCTTCTGTTGTTTTTATTTGTATACTATTACTATAATAACTTTAAGTGCAGTATATTGCTGTAATTGCTCTATTTTATTAATCATTGTTACTCACTTACTGTGCTTAGTTTATAAATTAAACTTTTTTTGTAGGTAGTGTATACAGGTCACCACACAGTCCACGCCAGTGCCTGGTGCCTGTGGAGGTGAGGGCATCAGATCACCCAGGATTGAAGTTTTAAAGCTATAGTATGGGTTATAGGAATAAGAGTAGCAAGTGGTCTTAACTGCTGACCCATCACCCTACCCCCATATGTGTATTTTTAATGTATGTATTTGCTGTAGATTATCTCGGGGCAAATAGTTAAGGGAATGGCAACTAAGAGACAGAAGCAGACAGAAGTCTACACTGCATACTTAGACCTCCTTTTGAACATTGAACTATTTGATAATGTCCAACACATAGAGACCACTAGGGACAAAGCTAGGAAAGACTTCATACCAGAGCAACTGCGTGTATTAGTAAACAAGAATATGGGTGGATTTTTATAGTATTTAGGCTTCTGCTCAATGACTGAGGTGTCTGGAGCAAGTAAGCATCAATTCTGAAAATAATGTTAGCAATCCATTCAGGAGACATTGAGAAACAAAGCAAGTAAGTAAACATTCTCCATATACTTCTTAAACACAGACCACCAATTCCTTTGTATATAAAAAGTATTTTTTTTCCTTTTCAGCCCAAAATTCTGCATTTCCACTCTCCATCGGGACTTGGAGCTCTTGCGTATGTTTCAATTTCTGTAATTTTTCTGTGGGGGCTGAGTGCACAGGGTAAAAGCACACCTTGCCCTAAATAATCTTTTACAGCGATCTGTGGTAGAAAGGAGAATATTTGGAACAAGAAAGAACTTCAAGAAAATGATAGAGTAGATGTCTGACATGTTAGATACAGACCCAGCACTCAACACTGCAGATCCTTGTCCCTCTCGGTCTCATCATCCTTTACTCCCATGAAATCTCGTGAGTATGCAACAGATGCCAAGACACCATCAAGTCCTGCCACCTTTAAGCCTTGGGCCGCTGCCGACGCTCCTCGCTCGGAGTCCTGGGCGTGGCTAGCGTCGTTCTGCATCCCTTCTCCTGATTGGTGAGCTGTTCTACCTTCTCTCCGGGGGCGTGCACAGCTCGGAGCAGGATCCGGCTCGCGGTGATGACGACATCGTTCAGCGACAGCGGCGGCCGCCGCGGAGGCCGTACGGCAGGGGAGGGCTTCCGGGCCGTGGGCCTGACTCCTCAGAGCTGCTGTCATGGCGGGTGCTCTGTGGGGCTTCTTTTCCATCCTCCTGCTGTTACTATCGGGAGATGCCCACGGCTCGGAGGTGCCTGGGGCTGCCGCCGAGGGCCCGGGAGGTAGTGGGGTCGGCCTGGGAGATCGTTTCAAGATCGAGGGACGTGCGGTTGTTCCGGGGGTGAAGCCTCAGGACTGGATCTCGGCGGCCCGAGTGCTGGTGGACGGAGAAGAGCACGTCGGCTTCCTTAAGTGAGCATCCCGAGGGCAGCAGGAAAGCGGTCGGGTGGACGCTGGAAGGGTTGTCCGGCTAGGACAGCACAGTGTCAGGACCGACAGTGTAGCTGTCAAACCGAGGGTGCCGGTGCGCTAACGGTCCGTGCTGGGACACCCTGCTAGGCAGCCAGACCCTTGAGCAGCGAGGATGGAGGACAGTGGTCCCAGGCTCGGAACATTGGGGTCATTTATTTTGTAGCCCCATTTTGCCCCCTGTGGGGCGGATGACTCTTAGGCCCAGGGCACTGGTGGGTCCTCGTTTGCTGGCTATTTTGCCCCTCTGCATCGTGTCTATAGTTAAACTTCTCTGGAACCTGGTTGCTTTTTCCATGTCAGTCTTCTGGTAGCTCGATGTTGTGTAGAAAGATGCTAAACAAGTGGGAATTGTCAACGCCCAAAGGACTCGCAGTGGTGACATAAACTGGAAGGCTGATGTTCCTGCTGCTAAAATTAATGGGTCCCCAGGTCCCTAAGCAAAGTGCTTTTTTCCCCCTTTGGCCCGAGACTGTGATTATTGTTCTTTTTACACTTGAATTCGTCGAGGGATTTGCGATATCGCAGTCGTCCATTATGTCAGACTAGGATGTCTCAAGATCCCTTACATATACCTGTTTTTGTTCTTAGGAGAAATGGGGTTTCGGTTTTTTTGTTTTGTTTTGTTTTTTTGAGACAGGGTTTCTCTGTATTGTTTTGAAGGCTGTCCTGGAACTCGCTCTGTAGACCAGGCTGGCCTCGAACTCACAGAGATCTGCCTGCCTCTGCCTCCCGAGTGCTGGGATTAAAGGCGTGCGCCACCAATGCCTGTCTGGGGTTTCTGTTTTTATTGGGGGATAAGTTACTAGTGCTTTGGTTTGTGAGCAATATGTTTTCACCCTTCTAGGCATGAATGTGATGTTTTAAATTTTGCCATCAGTATTGGGAGTTGAAACTATGACTGAAAGAAAATGCTCCTTTGATGGCTTTGTATACCAACTTGTGACACCTGAAATCCGTACATTTTAAATGTGGACATTTAAGTTTGAATTGCAGATTGTTGAAGTTCCCTCGTGTGAAATTCAACCTCAGATTAATAAATAATGACAAATTGACAGCCGATATTTTATCTAGCATTCCGGTATTGTTTAGATTTTATCCTAATTAATGATGCATTAATAATAAAATCCTGATGGGCGATAGTTGTGCATGTCTTTGATCCAAGCCCTCGGGAGGAAAAGCAGGCGGATCTCTGTGACTTCCAGGACAGCCAAGGCTACACAAAGAAGACTTGTCTGGAGAAAACAAACAAAAAATAGTAATAATAAAATCCCATTAAGTTTTGGAAGGTGAGAATTTAACTTCTGCAGTATATTACTTTTGGGGGGGGGTCTTTCGAGACAGGGTTTCTCTGTGTGTAGCTCTAGTTGTCCTAGAACTAGCTCTATAGACCAGGCTGGCCTCGAACTCACAGAGATTCACCTACCTCTGCCTACTCCTGAGTGCTGGAATTAAAGGCGTGAACCACCAAGGCCCGGTCCAGTATATAGCACTTTTTAAAAACCACTTAATTTTATTTTGAAATTACTCTTAAAATCAATACATTATATATTGTTATATATGATTAGCCTTGCATAGTGACACATGCCTGTCATCTCAGCTACTTATGAAGTGGAAGCAGAAGGATCATGAGTTAAAGGTTGTCACGAGCAACTTAGTCTCATGGTGGAATACAGTTTTGTGGTGGAACTGGGGTCACTCCTAAGTACAGATGAATAAATGGATAAATGTTTGCTGAGGAAAATGTAAGCAAGATGTTTTCTATCAAAAGGTTGCAACAGAAAGATAACAACCCTTAATGTTTTATATGATCTGTCTTTAAGAGTAAAGCACATAAGACTGCAGTTTTCATTGAACGTTTACAAAAAATTATTCTACTACTTTGTTTTTTGGTTTGTTTTGGCTTGATTTCTGTGTATATCCCTGGCTGTCATGAAATGTACTCTGTAGACCAGGCTGGCCTCAAACTCAGGAGATCCAAATGGCTTTTCCTCCCGAGTGCTGCCTGTGCTGCCGCCACCACCACCTGGCTTCTACTTTATGTTCTTATATTCATACAGAAGGGTTGGTTGAAAATTTATGTGATTTTTTTTATGGTAATAGTCTTGTAAGTAGGATAGGCAGTTTGTCTTACAGCTGTTTTGAATAAACAGCATAAAAGTTTGACTATAGGCCGGGAGTTGGTGGCACATGCCTTTAATCCCAGCACTCGGGAGGCAGAGGCAGGCGGATCTCTGTGAGTTCAAGGCTGGGCTGGACTGACAGCCTCCAAAACAATACAGAGAAACCCTGTCTCAAAAAACAAAAACAAAACAAAACAAAAAAAAAGTTTGACTATATTGGGACTTGGCTAATGGAGATGAGAGGAGTTGTGGTTGAGGAGTAGGCAAGCTGTTTTCTATAGCATAATGTGTGTATAAACCACAACTCACTTATCTTCTAGCTTTCAACAATTAGGTAGTTGTCAGATTTTTGTTTTGTTTTATATACTACTTATTTTTTTGTTTTGTTTTTGTTTTTCAAGACAGGGTTTCTCTGTGGCTTTGGAGACTGTCCTGGAACTAGCTCTTTTAGACCAGGCTGGTCCAGAACTCACAGAGATCCGCCTGCCTCTGCCTCCCTAGTGCTGGGACTAAAAGCGTGTGCCACTACCGCCCGGCTTATTTTTTAATATTTTAGTGCATAGTTTCACTGTGGTTCATACTTTCTTCACACTCATCTCCTCCTGGGTTCGCCATCTGATTACAGGTGTCTGCTGTCATGCCTAGATTTGCTTTTTTTTTTTCCTTCTGGTTTTTCAAGATAGGGTTTCTCTGTGTAACAGCCCTAACGGTCCTGAAATTCACTCTGTAGACTAGGCTGGCCTAGAACTCATCGAGATCCGCCTACCTCTGCCTTCCCAGGCCTGGGATCAAAGGTGTGCACCACCACCGCCCAGTTCTACCTTTGCTTTTTCTTTGGATGATTCCGATATTATTTGTGTGGAGTAGTCATCACTTTCATTTTTTACACTTTGCTGAGAAAAAAAAATGTTTTGAAATTGTTTCTGTCAGGGTCCATCAAGATGCAGAGGATGATGATGTGATGTACATAATATGTACTAGCTCTTGGGGGTGTGGGACAGAAGCATCGTGAATCTGAGGCTACCCTGAGTTGTATAGTAAGACACTGTCTCCAAAAACAAAAGAGTAGAATATGCACTAAAATTAGAATCGTTCACATAGAGTTTAATCAAAGGATTAAAACAATATAATCATCAAGGTAGAGAGGAATAGTCTGAGTGGGCAGCACCTGGAGCTTCCAGCCTCAACACTGTTTATCCAGTAATACACAAAAGCAAGACAAAGAAACTGTCACCACCTCTAAGCTTGAGGGAAAAGGAAGGGAAGCGGCTACTGGACACTTGGAAGTGTGTGTGGGATGCGGTGGATTGCATGTAGCCATGGCCCAGAGCAGAGCCAATTAGAGATGGTCTGTCAGTGACAAAGCTGTGGGAAAAACATACACTAAAGTATTGTCTTCCCTTCTTGTAGACGTAAGAGAAAGGTAGAGAGTGGGTCTGGGGGATGTGAGGGTGATATGACTGTAACATCTGCCACCTCATTGTCAGGGTTATTTGGCTAGGCAGGTGTCTTCTAACCACACCACATGTATCCCTTCTGAAGCTGCTAGAACCTCCAAAAGAAAAAAGAAAGAAACCCTCAAGGTACATTTGAGAGTGGTCTGGAGGATAGACAGGCTTCCAGCTGAGGACTAAGGTTTTTTGTTTTTGTTTTTCGAGACAGGGTTTCTCTGTATTGTTTTGGAGACTGTCCTGGAACTCGCTCTGTAGACCAGGCTGGCCTCGAACTCACAGAGATCTGCCTGCCTCTGCCTCCCGAGTGCTGGGATTAAAGGCGTGCATCGCCAACACCTGGCAGGACTAAGGTATTTTAATGCTTGTATTTCATTTCTGCTTTACCTTAGTATATTCTTTCAATGACAAGGAGCACTTTTCATCTTAATTTTTTATGTCTTTTTTCCTTGAAATAGCAGTTTTTTTCATTTTCTAGACAGGTTAAAATTTACTTGCAAGAAGAAATTACCAGCTTTTGGTTGGATGATTTTTTTTAAACCTAATGGAATTAGAAATAAAGAAAGAAAAGATGGATGGCTCTAACTACTAAATTGTAGGTTTCTATATAACCATTCCAAAACTAACTGAACTAAATGGGACTGTTTATAATAAGTGGAACAGTTACTGTTGAAATGTGTTTGTATGAAAAAGAAAGCCAGCAAAATACAAATTAAAACTAGAATAGAACGCTTTTTAAAAATACTAAAACTGTATTGACGGAATGTAATAAAGTTGGGACCCTACTATTGTAATAATATACAGGATAGTTTTTCTTCAGTGAAGATAGGCCCTCAGAGTAGCAGCTACCCTTTGTTACTGTCATCTGTACCTGCAGCAGGGATCTCTAGTACTCTGACTTAGGCTCATCTGTTTTCAGAAACTATTAAAGTTCTGGAACATAAAATGTAGGGATAGCTTTT